GCTACGCTCCAGACTAATAAAAGGAAATATCATTATTTATAATATTAGAATAATGCAAATGTAATCAAAAAGCTATGCTATATTTTTTGTGATAGCATGATAGGCATCTTGAAAATATAATTGAACATGAATAATCTAAAGAAAGTTATATTATCACAAAAATTTGCTTTTTTGCACTTTAAATACCAAATATATTTTCAACAATTCAGCAACTGAATAAAGAAAAATTGATTTTAAATTAAATTATTCTTGATGTACAATATAATCCACCTATTTGTCATTTAAATCTTATTTAAATAAATTCAGTATTAATCAAGAAAAAAAATATTTTATTGATAAAAGAATGCTTGTAATGTTAATACAATAAGATTGGATTGATCATCTTGTTATTTAAGTTTAAAAGTAATAATTTTTAATTAAAATAAAACAACGAAATTGCTATAATTATTAAGGAGTTATATGTTGGTAGGATAGTTGTTTGATTATTGAATTTTTAAATATTCAGGGTAGATATTCTTTAAGGAATCGGGTTTATTTGGCAAGCTAGTTATTAGAGTTTCAGAACAGTCAAGATAAGTTAAGGAGTTAGGCAATATTGGTAAGCTTGTTATTTTAGTATTATAGCAATGGAGATCCGTTAAGGAGTTTGGTAATGTTGTTAAGCATGTTATTTTAGTTGCAGAGCAATCGAGTATCGTTAAGGAGTTAGGTAATGTAGGTAAGCTTGTTATTTGAGTTTCATGGCAATAGAGTTTTGTCAACTTTCGATATCTTTGCAATCCGCCGATGTTGTTCAATATTTCATCCTTATTAATATCTATAATAGTTAAATTTTCAATTTTATCATCATAAATAATTAACGTTAATTCAAGATTACCGATTCTCTTTTCTAATTCATTAATAATTCCTTGCTTTTCTTTGGATATTTCTTCTCGTTCTTTAATCTTTTCTTCTAAATTATTGAGATTAGCTTTTGTTTCTCCTTCTCGCTCTCTAACCTTTTCTTCTAAATTATTAATATTGGCTTTGGTTTCTTCTCGCTCTCTAACTTTTTCTTCTAAATATTCGTAACTTTGCTCTAGTTCCTTAATTCTCGTTTCCAAGTCTTTTAGAATTTTTTCTAAATTCTTTAAAACCATTTTTTTTTTTCCTTTTTTTTTTATACTGATAAACTTTTATTTTATTTTTTTTTTCTTGCCATAGAAATTTATCAATTAGAAAACTCAGCCCTCGGTTTAAATTTTTTCCGACAATAATATTTCCCTAATCTGCTCAAATAACTTAAAAGGATCTAACCGCTTCTTGTCTACCAAATAAAGTTAAAATTAGATATTTAGAGTTAAATGAGTTAAACAAAAGATCTATACTCTATTGCTTGGTAACGGAACTTATTTTTATTGAGGTAAATTCCACCTTACAACAATTCTACAATACTATAAAAGAACGAAAATGATGAACTACTGTAATACTAAAGATTATAGTTGTAAATATGAACTTTTGCAAAAAAACTTTTTGAAGAAAAGAACATCCATATTAGGAATGTTTATGTTCCGAAGTTAGCTTAACTGTTTATTAAAAGGAATATTATTATTTTTTTTTTTAATATATCTTTTTTTTTGAAAAACTTTGGTGATTGGATTAATGTTCAAACGAAAATAATAAATCTTTGTTATAATTCAAATTTACTATTAGATTTCTAATAAAAAATTATTTATTTCGGCTTTAGTATTATCCTTATAATTCGAGTCAAATCTGAGTTAAACTATAAATCAGGTCGAGTTGAATTTAAGTTCTGTAAATATTGACAGGTTCAAGTTCGAATATTCTTTCCCTTTTGGAGCACTAGTAATAACTTTAACCTTCTTATGTAAAAAAATTACAAGTCAACAGGTATTGAATTATATTGAAATGACATTCTCATTATTTTAGATCTCGTAATGAATGTCAATAAATATCGTTATTATTTTTAATATACAATTTTTTTTTTTGTTTTCAATAAAGTTAAAATCTATATATTATGTTCTACCAATTTTTTTTAGTGATGAATTTTTTCTGTCTCATGCTTATAAATTGTCTAATATACACAAAAGTACTTATAGAAAAACCAATATTGTGAATTAAAAAACATTTGATAAACTAAACCAAAAATTTTAAATAATATATCATATGAACGTCCCTTATAATAACAAAAAAATTTTGATTTAGCAGAACTACAAATAATAACATTATTTAGTATTTTAAGATAATAAATATTGCGCAGTCAGATGTTAAAAGAATTTGTATTATTAGAGGATTTGATTGCATTAATTTAAAAGTGTATCCTATGATGACATTAAGAAAATTTTAAATGACGCGAGTATTAATTTCTCAGATATTATCCCTTCAAGCGTATTGCAAGCAAATTTGACTGCAATTTTATTTAATAGTTAAAATTATGAAATGAAGAAGGGAGAATTTTGCAATATACGAATTTGAACGTACAGAACGTTCACCTTTGCAAAGGTATTTGGAACTGACCCATTGATCTCGAAGATCTTACACATTTTCAGCTCCACCTAAAATATAATTACTACAAGGTAGTTGGAAGAAATGTAAAAAATGAGAATATCGTGCAGATACGGCCAAAACTATCGCCTCAACGAACGAAATGATCCTCAATGGAAGAAATTTTGCCGCATGAAAGTTTTACTACATGTTCCTCATCGAGATCTTGATTAATTAACTGAAAACAACACAATTTCATGATCTGATCTATTTATTCTACATCTCAAAAAGATCAAAAATGAACATGATTTAGTTGGATCTCCTGTAGAAAATGAGCTTGTTAACGAAGAAACTGATGAAGTTTTGGAAGTAATTGAAAGTGAAGAAGAAACACGACCAGATTGGATAATTCTAGTGGAAATAGGTAGGTCTGAACACAATTGTCAATGGTTTATCTCGTCTAGGATTGTTTAATATTGATCTATGATTAGAATAGTCATAATAGACAAAATTATCCTGATCTCGATCTGATTGACCCTGCTAATTTTGTGCAATAAGCTTGCAATATGGACGATATAAATGCTAAGGATATAGTCGATGATTGTATTGCAGACTACTAAAAATTGAACGAGAAACAGATGATAATATTTAAACGAATTGAATCACATAATTGCAGCACTATTACTCAGAAATATTATCATGAGAACTGTAAAGTCATATTTAATTAATATGATTGATAGACCAAGAATTAGCAAAAAAAAAAATAATTTCGAAAGTTCACCCTTAATCAAGTTTATACGAACTGGATTAACATTCATGGGACAACAATTCATTTGACTCTCTCCATTCCGATATCTTGTTTTAACTTTGATATAGGTAGTGTGAACGACTAAAGAGTCTACCAAAAAAGTTACATGATGTCATTTACATAATAACCAATGAAAAAGCATGGTTGAACGTTGAATGCTTTCTTAAATTGAAATATGATTACGTGCGACCTTTCCAGAGTAACCATTTGGTGGTCGATCTGCTATTTTAATTGGTGATTTCAGACAACTTCTGCCAGTGATGGATATTCTGATGTATGCACAAAACTTTACACACAATCCATTATCAAATGATGGTATTGTAGGATACAGCCAATTTCGAGAAGTTTATCGACTTGATATCATTCAAAAACAATCTGGAGATTCGCAGCTACGTGATGGTGAATCGACAGTAGATGATTGGAAAACATTTTCCTCACGATTTATTGGTGTGTCAAACATATCATCTACAGAATGTAAAGAATTTTCATACGTCTTACCCAGAAAGTACGATGTTAATGAAGTTAACGTAAACAAACTTAAGTCATTAAATAGTCCCGTTGCTAGAATTCGTGCAGTTTATACAGGTTAAAATGCATCAAAAGCAGATTCTGATACAGCAAAAAGTCTTGAAGCGCAGGTATTATTATTCGAAGGTTCACACATTATGCTCTGAGTTAATTTGTATGTAAGGATAGGGTTATTGTACAGCACAATCGGAACAGTTCGTGATATTCTGTTTGAAAATAGCCAAGATCCACCTTTCCTTTCCATTGCAATATTTGTAGAATTTGACAATTACACTGGTCCTGCAATTACATTTGCAGAAGGCAAAAAAGTTGTTCCAATTATACCTATATGACGCACTTGAGAGACGAATACAGGACTTTGCTCACGCTTACAAATTCCTGTCAGCCTTTCTTGAGCTATCACCATTCACAATAGCCAAGGACTGGCACTATCAAAAGCCGTTATTGATATCGGAAAAAAGAATATGTTTTGTGTCTCTCATTTGTTGCGATATCTCGAGTTCATGCTCTTAAAAATATTCTCTTTAACTGTTCTTATTTTATAGGTTTCAACGAATTAAGAGTAGTAAAACAATGCAAGAACGGAAAATCATTTAATGTCAATGGTTTCTTGTAGAAAAGAATTAAAAGAATTTATCAGTGTGACATTTTTATTAAATAATTGTGCCTGTTCATAAATTAGTTAAATTTGAAATGTAACACTTAATATGATGATGAAAATATGACTAAAAATTATAATCATAATAAAACGAATTTGTAACACTATCTGACACTATGCGAAATCTGACGCTTCAGATCCACAAAGAATCCCATTTCCCAAGTTTTATTTTAATTAATCATTTTTATTCCATTAGATGTATCAAACAAGTTTAAGAAGTGGAGAAACTAATTTATCTCATCATATAAAATTACATCATAGTAAAAAAATTTTTCATTCAATAAACAAGAAATCGTATTACTGAATTCTTTAAAAAAATAATAAATAAATTTTACACAGTTTTTTTACGTATTTTAGCATTTTTTTTTTTTTTTAGTATCAGTTGAAATAGGTAGAAAAATGCATAATATAAATTTTATTGGAAACGTAAATAGAATATTATGCTGCTTACATATATAGTGCTCAGTTAATTGTTTAAGTGCTGCATTGATTAATAAATTTGAACATTTTAAAAAACTGAAAATGCAACTTTTTCAAAACACGAAAACTCCGAGTCGCCGTGCTCACTTAGAAAAGCATAGAAATTTAATTTTTAAGGAGACTCATATCCTATTAATTCATGACTCATCAAGCTTGTAGGTATTTTAAGACTGTATTTCAAATAAAATATTCTTTTTATTATAATTATTTTTGACATCATTTTTGAACTATTTTAGAAAAACAAACTTAGGACATTTGGCATTTTTTTTTATCTTTACTGTATCGATATAAAAAAATTTCCATTGATTTTGTATATTTTTCAAGAGTTTGATGTGGGTAATTGATAATTAATCTTTGGAGTTGGCATCGCCAATTTATAAATAAATACTATCGTTAAAATTCACGTAACCGCATGCCTTAGCAAAAAAATTTCTATGGAATTCATTATTATTTGCGCACATTAATCCAATTGGTATCTCAACATTTATTAGATTTTTAATTATTCTGTTTTTGGGGTGTGTTTTGAAATGATTATGCAAATCCGTTAGTCATCATTTTTCTATCGTACAATTCTAATTAATGTTTGTTTTATTTCGCTGTAAACTATTTTTTTTTTGTATAAATTAATGAAATTATTTTCTTTTTTACTATACTTAATTTTTTTGATCACTTGTGTATTTCGTCATAACAAGCCACCAATCAAAGAGTCTATCTTTTTATTGGTCACAATGTATTTAGAAAGGTCGTTACAGTATTTATATGATCTCAAACTTTCTCAAAAGTGCTCTCAAAATACTTTCAAAAACTCAAACTTATTTTATCACTTTATAGCAATATCATCGAAATGGAAAAGTCGTTCAATTGTTTACTTCTAAGAAACACTAACAACACTTCCCTTTTTCCGGTTGCCGTTTTCAAAGACAAAGATGAAAGATTCGTAATATTTGGTCAACAAAGCATCAATTTAAACGTATTAACAGTTGTTCTCCTCAGGGATTATATCTGTGAAAAGAAAAAAGTTGATAATTCTGATGATATGAAACTTTGGAAAGTTAATTTCGATGAAGAAAAGATTAAAGATAAAAATGTATTAACTGAAGATGATATTGTAAAAGAACTTAACGGAAATGAATTGAAACCTCAAAAATTATTTATTGAATATTTTCAAGCTGAATTAGATAATCAAGTAAAATTTACAGCAACATTCACATCATCGCTATCACTGGTAAGTGATTAACCTCTCGAATAAAATTTGCGCTTATTATATTTTTGCCTGATGTCATTTTTTTTTAAAAGCACAAAAGCTGCCTGATCAATTAGAATTTCGTAATCCTCATCCTCTTCTCATAGGTAGTGGTTCCATTTGGGACTTTCAAGCCTCAATTGCTTTGAGAGAAAAACTTAAGGATGCAATTCATGATCATTACAAGTTTTGGAAAGCAGGGCAACGTGAAAAAACAAAAATACCGGAATATTTCATTCTAGCAGGAGCTGAAGAAGGTAAATCTCGCACTGCGCAAGAATTGCCAAGGTTATTAATTGAATGTGCTGACAGCGATGCCGACTTACAAAACCGTCTTAAAGATGCTCTTGTATTTAATTTATCGTTTGAAAATGGGACCAAACTAATTCGGGGAGACGAAATTACGAGCTCTAAAGCAATTTGTAATCGAATGCTCTTTCAATTACTGAAACTGCCTAATGATTCTTGGAATGATTTTAAGAATCGATATGATGTAACACCAGAAGATGTATTGCGTAGAATTGCCAAACATCGCACTCAAGAATTTAAGGATCTGAATGTAATTATTATTCTGGATGGTTTACAAGTAGCAATGGATGATACTAAAGATGGAAAAAACAAAAGCAAAAATTTATTTTTTTACGATTGCATCTCCACACTTGGCATTCTTTCACTTACTGGTCCATTTGTTATTGTCTGTTGTACGGCCACTATTAGCATACCTATTCATGATTTCCTTGCCAGTTCACAACAAAAAAGAATTTTTCTACCAGTTACATCATCACAACCTCCGAAAATAAATAACATCCCAGTTTTTAATGATAGTTCAACAATGAATATGTTTATAGATGACATGGGAGGTCATGGACGTGCTTTAGAGGCTTTGGGAGAAGCAGTTGTAAATAAAGATATGAACAAATTAAATTATATTGATCTAATAAACAATGTGCGAATGAATCTTACATATAATTATTCGGGTTGGTTGACCAAAACAGCTTATTTAAGACCTCTCCTCCGCATTATTCTAGCACATACATCTGTTAACAAAGACCAAACCATCTTTGAACTTGATGGACAAAGAATAAATGTAGATGACGTAATACAGTTTGGACTAGTTCGATTTGAGAGTTCCGATCCTGACCGTGTTGTTGGTTATCTATCATGGATTATGGCTCATGCATACCACGAAAATATAAATGATCCATTGTTAAGGAATTGGGATTTTGCCTACTACAATGAAGTACTCAATGAATCGGGAGAGCCTAGTATCCCACCTGGTTGCCAATACTGGCAACATTTTGAGTATTTTGTCGCTCAATTTCGCTCTCTAAAATCGAATATCTATAATTATGATCAGCGAGTTGATCTTAGTGTCATTCATAATGGTGCCACTCATAACTTAGGCCAAGTTTCCATATCGAATCGACAACTTACATTATCAAAATCAGTTGAAAGAATTAGCACCAAATCTAAAGATTATAGGAATCAAAATGCAAATATATTGTGCCAGAAAGGACGAGTCAATCTTACAAATGCGAGTCATATTATAATCAATGCATCTGCTGCTAAGTTTGGAGATTCCTTTTGTTCAATATATATGGCAGAGACTAAACAATTACAAACGGAGGCACATCAGTGCAAATTATTGAGAGAACAAAGCATTTCTCAAAAAATTTATGAAGAAGAATATAACAAAGCAACTAGTTCAGGAGATATTTTCATCTTATACACCTCAGAATCCTGCCAGAATCTTGAACTCCAACCAATGTCTGCAATCGTTAACAAAGAAAACTGGAAAGAATATTTCGGTCCTTTTGCTGGAAGATGTTATAATTATGCCATGGGGCCACCAGATATTAATAAAGCGACCTTCACTCAGCTGACTGGAATTGAGAAGATTGCAAAAAAACGTGCTAGAATTATCATGGAAGAACGAGATCGTGTCGAATTTTTTGATATTGATGATTGTGAAAGGAGAACAATAATTCCACGTCAATATATTGAGCCTTTTTTTTTAAAAGGGTAAAGCATTTTTATCATGATTAATATTGTTATATTGTATGTGGGAACTTTCCTTTTTATCTTGAGAAATATCAATAATTATTAGATTCGGTAAATATATCTAATATGCATAGAAAAATATATGAAAATGAAATTGTGTAATTGATTTTTATAACTAATTTTATTTTATTAATAAAGCATTATGATTCTGCTACTATAATAGTATGTATCATACGTTAGCAATTAAGACATTATTAATGAGATAAATTGTAGCGGCGAGAAGCATTAATAAGTAAGTGGAATTGCTTAAACAAATAAATAGTATAAGAATGAAATATGCGTGTGGAATTAGATAATTTATTTTGAAAATAGTACAATATAGCGAAAAAATGAAATTTAGTGATTGGATATATGGGCATTTTGTAGTAGTATAAAATTTACATGACTTTAGCCCGCATTTACGGCATTAAGAAATTAAATATGTTAAAGACAAATTAAATGAATGATGTCAGGATGATATGGTGGAAGACAAAAAATTCACCTCCACGTGATCATAGAAATATTTATCATCCCGCATATATCACACAAATATCCAAAAATGAAACTTGTGTAACTGATTTTGATACTTGAACTCAAATTTTACTAGGAGATAAAATTACCTTTTTTGGTATTGTATAACGTTTCAGTCAGGGATTTTACCAAAAATGGATGATACCGATCATTCTATTTATGGTATAGAAATGCTGATCGGAAGGATATCTAAAATGAATCTTTAAACCTCTTTTTTAAATTCTGAAAGTTTATATTAGTAATTAGACAGTATACAAGAAATGTATATGATTTCAACTTATTTTAGTATTTAGAAATTAGTAAAAAAAGATGTAGTTTATTATATTATTTATTATATCGCTTTGTTTGGTAATATTCCTTTATAATTATTAAAAAAATATGTAGTTTATTATATTACTTTGTTATATATTTATGTTTCAACACTTTTATTTATATTAAACTGAACAAATTTTTAATATAAAATGCTTCAAAAATATTTTTTTTATTAAGTTTAAAATGTGCAATCTTAAATATTCAAATTTAATATACTAATAATATATAGCTATTCTTTTCTAAACTTATATCTAGGATATGAAAGGTCTGTTAAAGTTCAGTTAAAATCCTAAGTCCTATAGTTTTAATATGTGGACAGACTGACTTAGTCTTTATGAAAGTCCTGTAACTTATATAGGACTATAAATAAGACTAAGTTCAGATTATTAAATAATATTTATTTTAGCATATAGTATTTATTTTAATATTTAGAGGTATTATACTTTAAAATTGAAAGCTATTAGAATCTTTCAATTCTTTCAATTTTAAGTTATTCAATGCCAATAGATTTTTATTAAAAAATTAGAAAATTTTTGAAATTTTTATAAAAACTTATAATTTTTACAAATTTTAAATTGATATTATATTATAATTTCTGTTTTATTAATAATTATAATGATGCTAGATTATGTACTTTTTTTTTCTTTTTTAAATAATACTTTTCTTTTAAAATTCTGATCTGTAGTTAAAAAGTTTTGTTGCAAGTAAAAACCTTCTTAAATTTTATGTATTTCACGCAAAAAAAACTTTATCACTAACATCCTTGACCTTCACTCTTATGAATACTGCCTCTATATATAATTTTTTGATTCTATTAAAAATGTGATCACATTTTCTTTTTATATAAAATAAATAACATAAATAATGTAAACTATTATTTTAACAAATATCACAAACGCGTATATGTTATTTTTTTAAAAAACATCTTTTTGGTTAATTATTCAATATTATTAAAATATTAAAAAAAATGTTTAGCTTATATTCTTTCCTTAAACTAATGTATTTCTCATAGTATAATACTTTCTAAAGTTCACAAATGTGTATTATACCTAAATATCTTGTATTTTATTTAGTTATTATTAATGAATTTACTATAATTCATATTACAAACTTACCGATTATTTTTATATTTGTTAAATTCATTTTTATTATCATTACAAATTAAATCAAATTAAATTTAACATGTAAAAATGCTATATAAAAAACTTTTAACATTCAAAATACTGTTTCTTTCTTTCCTAATTCTTTTTCAAGCTAACTTTTTAAACATAATAATATACAAGATGTATCTGGTTGCAGTCTATTTCTTATACAAATTATAATAATCTTGTGTTATTACTTCTAATGCTAAAAATTCTTAAAAATGTACTTTTCACCATAGTAAAGGTGTAACGTTATCATCACATGGTAAAGCAAAATACCAGTCAAGTTTCTTAGAAATTTCAGGTAATATTCTTGCAATACTTGAAATAATATTATTATTTAATGTTTTTCTCTTTAATTGATGAAAGTATTCATGAGTACTTATTATTTCACTATTATTTTGATTAATTACAGATTGAGGTTGTGGTATATAATACTCAGTTAAGCAATTTTTTATAGCATTAATTACTTTAGTTAATTCTTTTCCAGTAGCAAATAAAGTAAGCTTAATGCGAGAATCTAATACTGCAACTACTATAGTATTGACCAATTTTTTGAAACATTGATGATGCTAACTCACTTTGATTAAATTCTTCTTTTCTAATATAATCATCTAAATATTCTTGAATTCTAATAAATAAAAATTTAACATTAGAGATTATGGGATAAGAAAAAGCTGAAAGTAATACTGTTGCCTTTTTTAATAGTTCAAGTAAAATAAGAATATTCTATTTAGTTTAAAAAAATTAATTAATGTGTGTGCAGAACACCTATAGTGTTAAAAAGTTTGATCATTAAGTTCTTATGTGAGTTTTTTTTAATTATTCTTTTACAAATTACTATAGCTATTTCATTATTAGTAGTTAAAGCTAAAGTTTTTTTAAGTAGATTAAATTTTGTTAAAACTGATTTTATTTCATTTGCTATATTGATTCTAGTATGTCAAATAATAAATAAAATAATATCTAATAAAAAATTTTTTAGATTTCAATTATTGTTGATATAATGAATTGATGAACCAAAAAATGCATCATTATTATATGTAGAAGTCCATATATCTGCTGTTATAGATATTTTACCTAGAATAGCATTTAAATCTTCTTGAATATTTTCCATTTTTCTTTAAAATAATCAATTACTAAAGTTTTTAGTATTTTTCATTTGGAATTGGATATCTTGAATCAAATTTATTGATCATAATTTTAAATTACAAATTTTTAACTAAACAAAAAGGTTGTATATCTCTAATTACTCATTCTACTATTGCAATATCTCTTTCTTTTTTTTTAGACCAAGAATCAGTTCACCTGAAATTCAAAATACTTTGATTCTTTTTTATATTTTTTTAACTTTCTCTATCTTTATTTTATGTACAGATTCTAAGTATTATTTAAAGTTAAAATACCAACTTTTTTCTAAAAACAGTTTGACATTTGCAATAAACTGGACTTTTTAGATGTTGAATTATTTGTTTATTAAAATATTTTCATGTTGGTAAAATTCAATGAGATTGAGGTGAGCTTTCATTCTCACTATCATCATTATTATCATTATTTTCTTCAACTTCTTTAAGAGGTAAAAATTCAAGTTCATCAACATTATCAAAATTTTCAAAATCTTTAAAATCATCAAAATTTTCAAAATCTTCAAAATTATCATTTAAATAAGACATTTTTGCTAAAAATTTTAAAATGTAAAATAAAATTTTAATGATAAAAAAATGTGATGTGTAACATTTAACTAGAATCTAATTAATCTACATATCATATGATAATAATTAAATTGCAATATGCAATAATCTACAAAATTAAACTTTAATTTATATTATTTATTAAAATATTATATAAAGATCAAATTGAGACCGTCTACATTAAGTCTCAAAAATTAGGACTAGGTCTTACCAAGAATAAGATTAAATACTAACTCCTAAAGTCTTAGACTTAAACTTTTCCATTTTCTACTTATATCATACCGATCTTCTACTACTGTACTGTAATAATTCTTATGTAATTGAATAAACTTCATTCTCCTGTATTTTTAAATAATCAGTATAATTACTATTATCATGTTCATTATCTGAATTAAATAAGACCTTATCTTTTCTAATATAATTAATAATTCATTGCACCTTTTAGACTTTATTTTATGGTATTTTTTATAAATACTTTTACTCATCTATTTAAGAAAAGCTTTAATCTTACAAATGAATTTTACTCTCATTATATTTACTCTTCTTGCATGATTTCTTCTTGTTTAATGATTAGATTTAGCCTATAAAAGAATCTGAACTAAAGATGATCTCCATAATTATTTTCAAATTTCAATTGAATTACAACTTAATTATGTCACAAGTTATAACTCAATTATACCATTTTTTAATTGTAATAATTATCTTTAATCTTGATTATTATTACAAATGACTTTAATAATATATTCTTTTTGAGCTTACTTTGCTAAACTGGTAAAATTTGTCAATTATGCACTTAATTCATGTTCTTTTCCTAAACTTTTACAGATAGTTCTCAATTTTATAGGGCTAATAAAATTATCTTTTATTAGATGAATTCTAAATTTTTGGCATTCAGTAATTAGTTATGATCAGATTTTTAAGCTATTTGTTTAAAGACTATTATATTCAATCGATTTAAAAAAATTGCTTTAAAACTAAATAAATTATATAAATTAAATTAATAAATAATTAATAGTTATTTAGAACTTTGTGCTGAATAATTATTATATTAGATTAAATTTGATAAGTTGATTTGAGGTTTCATAGAAGTCCTGAGTATTAAATCAAATTTGATTCCTAATATTATTAGCTACCTTATATGTAGTGATAGTTATTTAGCTCAAAGTATCAGATAAGTGATTTATCCAGTATCCTGTGATTAAGCTATTACATATGCCCACAAAATTTTCTTGTGACTAGTATATCATATATAATAGCATCCTTATTTATTTTCTATTAGAATGTTTAAAGGTTTCAAATAAGTTTATACT